CTGCCGTCCCGGGGGGTGGCGGGTCCAGCCGCAGCGTTCTCTGCCCCGCTTGGGGGGGGGGCACCCTCGGTGCAGGGTTGCCTCACCCCGTCACCGCCCTCCCCCATGTTGCTCGGGGTCCCGCCAGCTCGACCGCCTGCCGAGCGGCGCGTCCCGGTTACCCCACCGGACGCGTCCTCGGCGGCGGCGAGACAAGCCGCGCCGCTTTCCCCTGCCTCGCTGGGGGGGGCCCTCTAGTGCGGGGTTACCTGACCCCGTCACAGGCCCCCTTTTAAAGCTGATGAAACTGATTCAGAAAGAGATTATGTGACTTGTACATCAGTTTTATAGCACAGTTAAGAGCAGAGCTTCTAACACTCAGTCTCATCCTTTACCTCATAGTGATGCTTCCTCTTTCCAAGTGGCTAGTGTCAGCCTGGGACTAATTTACATTTTAGGTGAAACCATGTGCGAGTTAGTGGTTTTGTTTCCAGTTTTGGGGTTAGTTTTAGAATTATTTGCAAACTGAAAACAGAAAAAAAGCTTGCATAAAACTGCAACTCAAAATCAGCATGTTATGCAGTTTTTGATAGTGGTAAGACAGGCCTGTGCTGTGTGATCCTGAAATGAAAAATTAATGGTGCCAAGATTTGTGGTTGCTAATTCAAATTTCCACTTTGGTATTCACTGGTCTCTGCAACAATAGACTTCAAGTGCAGCCAGACAAATACAGAGCAGGGTTTATTATTTTCTGTACTCCACATCAGACAGAAATGCATCTCTGTATATATGTGTCTGTGTCCCTAGAGGTGTTAAGGAACACGGGGTTATTCCCTCTGTTGCTTTGCAATTGTGGTGCATCTCACGTAGTTTTACCCTTCTGCTACACACCCTTTACTATGAAGGAGGAGAAAGCAATTTTCAGTGGTCTAATCAAACATGATTAATGCTATTGTTTGACTTAAATGTCATAAGACCATTAGAATTGCCATCTTGGTTCAGAATAGTGGTCTGCCACATTCAGTATCTTTCCATCAACTGTGGTCATTATCTGATGCTTTTAGATTTAGAGGGAGGCACAAGGAACACCCTAGTGGGCAACTATGGTATAACCTGCTCCTAGGGGAAATTTCCTTCTAATCCACTGCATGTAGAATAGTGATAGAAATGTAGCCATGTTAGTCTGGGGTAGATGAAGCAAAATGCAGGACAATGTAGCACTTTAAAGACTAACAAGATGGTTTATTAGATGATGAGCTTTCGTGGGCCAGACCCACTTCCTCAGATCAAATAGTGGAAGAAAATAGTCACAACCATATATACCAAAGGATACAATTAAAAAAAAGAACAAATATGAAAAGGACACGTGGGCCAGACCCACTTCCTCAGATCAACTATTCCTCAGACCCACTATTTGATCTGAGGAAGTGGGTCTGGCCCACGAAAGCTCATCATCTAATAAACCATCTTGTTAGTCTTTAAAGTGCTACATTGTCCTGCATTCTGCTTCTTCTAATCCACATCATTCTGTAGCAGGCATTAGCCCTGACTCAGGAGTGTTTACATCCCCTCTGACTAATCCTGTTTTCTCTTTCTCTCTCTCTCCCAATGAATTCTTGCCAGTGAGTTTTATAGGGTGCTTGTGTGTCATATATAAACACTGTTTTTTATTTTCAATTTTGTCTATGTCAGTGTCAGATCATAGCATCATTTTCTTGTATTATGATAGAGTAAATAGGAGCATTTAGTTTACCTTGTCTGCTATTGGTTATTTATCTCTTTTTGAGATCCATTCACTGGAACTGATTTATACTTTGACCTAACGAGCTGTTTTCCATCCCATTCTTTATCTGTTTCAACATATTTGCTTTTTTTGACCACCGCTGAACAAGAACTAGATTTTTTTTCCAGTGATTTTTGTCTGTGACATCCCCATAGCGCTAATCAGGGGTGTAAAAAGTCATTTTAAAAGGTAACCATGTGACCATTAAAAATCATAGCGGTTACATGCCCTGCAGGCTCTGCTCACGGAGAAGCTTTACTGTGGGCTCTGCAGCTGGCTCCCCAGGAGCTGGGCAGTAGCCTCTGCTGGCCCCACTCCCACGGAGCCGGCTTCTGGGACCTGGTGTGTGCTGGGACAGAACCAAGTTACATAGAAGAGCCCACAATGGAGGCAGCCAGCTCCTTTGGAGCAGAGCCAACTGCTGGAACCCAGCGCATGCTGGGACAGGGCCTGCCAGCTCCTAAACTGCAGAGCACGCAGTGGGGGCAACCGGTTCCCTGGGAGCGGGACTGGCTGCCAGGACTCAGCGCATGCCGGGATGGAGCCTACCTGCTCCAAGTTAAATGGCAGAGCTGACAGTGGGGGGCAGCCGACTCCCCAGGTGAGCAGAGTTTGACTAATAACTTTAACCAATAAGCATTAGCTTATTGGTTAATCTCTACTGTACCTAGAGCTAACATGCTAACATAGAACCCAGCAATGTGTATAAGTCGTTTGTATTGTTCACTGTGACGTGTATGACTTGCACTTGTAAACTACATCCATGGTTTCCAACACGCTAGCCACATGTGACTAGTTGGCCAGTTGAGTGTGGCTAATTTGCTTCAGAATTGGTTGGACACCATGGCTCTACATGTTGCTCATTCAGCTTGTGTCATTACGTCCTCATGAAATTCCTCACTATCTTCTCTCCTAGACTAGCATAAATATTATTTTGGCAATCATGGTAGCTGTTTTTTTGATTCCAGGAGACTTAATGGAATCTTTAGTTCCCCATCCTGAATTCAAGATGTTGGGTCTTCGTAACATACCTCAGATGTCAGAGAACTCCCTGGCATACAGCACATTTACTTGGCCTGGGCTCATCAAACATCTAAGACAGATGCTAATTGCTAATGCTAAGATGGAAGAAGGTAAGGTGTGAGCACGCCCTTTAGCTCAGATACTCTTTCAACATACATTTCCTCATGTGGTCTAAAGTTAATTGCATGTGGGAACTCACTAGATAACCGTAACCAACTCAGAAGTCTCAACCAAAGCCAGCCCCTGTCTAGGGGGTGCCAGGGCCTACTACAGGCAGGCTGCTCCAGCCCAGCCAAAGTAGCCCTTGTCTGTGGTGGGCCCCTTGGGGGGCTGGAGTAGTCCCATTCATACCCCTATCTAGAATACTGCACATTTGTGGATATCTGCTTTGGCAGATATGGATGCAGATATCTGCAGCTCCTTTTTGTGGATACAGATGTAGATACAAACTTTGTATCTGTGTAGGGCTCTAGCCACAGGAGCATCCATTTCATCCCTGCTTTAACCCATAGACTGCTGTAGGAGTCCTTGTTTGGTCCTGAGTCCCTGCCCAGTGCTCGGGCCTGTACGTCCTAGCCCAGCGGTCCCTTTAAGACCAGGGCTGGAAGGCGGGCCAACAAACAAACAATTCCCCACAGTCAGAATGGCGGCCTGGGCCCTAGCTCAGGGCAAGGCAGACAAACGAACAGTCTCGGCAGTCTAATGGCATCCCAGGCCCTGGTTCAGGGCGAGGCAGGCAAGCAAACAATTTCTGTAGCATAAGTGGAAAGGGGGAAACTGCCACCCAAATGCGGAGGTGGCAGCGGGGACATGGGCCCAACCCTGCTCCACCATGTCACGGCCCAGGGCCCTAGTAGTGGCAGCCTCGCAGCCACTGGGGTCAGCAGGGGATACACCAAAGCCTGCTGACCCAGCTTAAAGGGTGATCAGATCTGCCTGATCATCTGTTGCTTCCCCTGGGCCACTTCCAGACTCCCCCTCTGGTTGTACCTATTCCCCTGGTCGGGGCAGGACCCCAGGGTCTGTATGGTCCCAGTCTAGATATAGGGAGAAAAGGGTCGTCTTCTCCAGGTGAGGGCCTGGTGGCCCAGGCCAGTCGTCTGCCTCAGCCAGCTCCAGCCTTCTCAGGGTTGGCCTCCGCTCCCTCCAACAGCCGGCCCCCTACTGAGCCTCTGGGCCTAGCTTTTATACTTCCTGCCTCTCCCGCAGGCTGCTGAGGACTTAAAGGGGCAGGCTCCAGCTCAGCCCATCCATGCTCAGAGAGGGGTTCTCCCTCCTTAGGGTCAGTGAGCAGCCATCCCTGCTCACTACAACTGCTCAATTTCCTGGTAAGACTAAGAGTCCCATGACTGCTGTTGGATCAGAGAGTGGAGCCCGTGTACTCTAGCACACTCACAGTGCTAGCGACTGAATATCAAGAGTACTAGACTGTTTCCAAGTAGCCTGCAGTACCTCTCTTTGAGTGTATCTGTATTTCATGTCAGGAAGCTAGTACCCGAAAAATTAATTAAGCACAGCATGATGGAAATATGGATTTTAGTTTGCTTCAAAAACTTCTGTTTGTAGGTATCGATTGGCAGGTGCGACCACCCCTACCAGGGAATCCTGTCCCCCCCAAAGCCTCTCCAAATAAGGCACTACATTTTAACACTTCCATTGCCAACCTGGTTGTTCTGCGAGGAAAAGATGTGCAAAGCGTGGATCTAGGTGAGGAAAGAAATGGACAGGACGTTAGTTATTTCCCCTTCCATATTCCACTGTTCTCTCTGCAAACACATTCTAAGGTCTATGGACATGTTCTGTAGTCATGAAAGGCTTGATTTGTTTACATAGGTGGACAATACACTGGAAGTATCTATCAGGGTTTCCTAAAGCACCTTACAGGAACAGGTGCTATCATAGGCTACATCTACACTGCAGGACTATTTTATCCCGCAATAGTTATTCCGCATCCTTTGAGTGCGCCCGTTATTTCGAAATGTAACAGCTCACTATTCCGACATCCCTGTAAACCTCATGCCATGGGTAGTAAGGGACGTTTCGGAATAGCAGTTTATTTCGAAATAAGTGCTGTGTAGACGGTGCCAAATTTCAAAAAAAGCTCTGTCAAAATTAACTTGAAATAAACTATGCAATTTGGATAACTTACTGTAGCTGTTTTTTCTTTCACATCATGGTCTTGCGAGATCTCTCGCCTCATTCTACACCACTTCCAAAGCCCTAGCTTTTAATTATGAACTCAGATGCAGAAGCCATGAGTGCAAATTGCAGCTTTCCCGTCTATTTATATTGGTTTGTGAGACTGAATGGGCAGTGTCTGCAACAGCTTCTTGCTGCCCTGACAGGCACAGGACCAATCATAAACTATCCTTTTTCAGGATCGCTTTTTTAGTCTGTGTGTTCAGGTTGAACCTTTCTGGTAGAGCCCTCTCTCATCTGGCAACATCTGTGATCCAGCATGACCACAGATTTTAGTTTGGTTTCCACTTATCATGGGAGTGGCCAAGTTTCCCACAGTCTCATGAAGTTTGTTTACAGCCACCAGTCCTGGCGCTCAGTGTTCTGTGCTGTTATTTAACTCTAATTTACCCCTAAATGTCTTCTAAGAGCCCAGTAAACAGTGGAAGTGTTGGTAATGCTTTTTGACAGTAGTGACAACTAGATAATATTGACCTCCCATGGCTCAGCAAATTCTCTGGTTCAGCGCCAGTCAGGTCCCAAGGGTGCCAGACTGGAGAGGTTCAACCTGTAGCTTGAAAGCAGAGCTGAAGAGTTCTAGTGTACAATATACTCAGTGTAACATTCTGATTATAGGTTCCACTAGACTTTTCTAAAGAAAGTCATGTTGATAAAACTGTTCCTTCATCAGAAAAGACTGTCACATTCCCATTGCAGGAGGTTTCAAAGATCCAGCTTTGTACACATCATGGCTAAGCCCTCAAGATGCCTTTAACGTGTGGAAAATGCCAAGGGCCTTTAACAAGTATGAAAAATCGGCTACTTTGGTCAGCAACAGAAAACATTGTGGGGAAAGCCTGGAATATGTTTGCTTCCAAGTAAGTGAAAATAAGAATGTTAGTTTAGCATTTAGACTTTTCACAGTGTTTGCACTGGAAGTAAATAGTTGCAAATGTCTCGGTTTAAAATGCTTCATAGATCATTCTGGTTTTGGATTAAAAAGGTTTCCCTTAAAGCCACAGTAAAAGAAACCACAATACCTGCTCCATTACGGAATATGCGTCACTGTGTTGGTAGTTTTCCAAATAATGTTCTTGGGGGATTTGGGCAGAGAAGCCCTCAGTGTCACAGGTTCAAATCCAAGCCAGACTGGTAGTGGCTGCAAGTTACTACAAAGTACAAGTGCAATAAATACTTAGAGGAGTACATTCATTCCTACAAAGAGGAGGAACAAAGTTCCCACTGATTAAACCACGTAAGAGGAACCAGTTCTACGTGGCTTATTTCCTAGAACATTCAAACAAATTCATTTTAGAGAAACTTGCCAGAACAGAGTTTTTTTTTGTAGGGCACTTGAAAACAGTAAAACAAAATCCATTAGCTATTCCCTTACCTTTGTCAAATGGTTTGAGGCCTTGAATCATTTTTCCATGGCACAATTGTCCTTTTTTTTCCCCCAGCAGTCACTGCAGAGAAACTTGGATGATCATGGAGATTTATCTCAGTTCTGGAGGTACCACCTCTAAGATTGAGGTACTGTGGCAGAGCATTGTCTGTCTGGTAGCTTGCTCTGCCTGTGTTCTATCATTTGGATAAATAGGATGAGTTTCCAGTGAGGTCAAGTTACCACTTTCACCACCACTAAAAAAAACCCAAAAGATACTTGCACATTCCAGAATAGCTATTCTAAAATTAGTGCATACAAACTCTTTTACTGATCTCACAGTTTCTAGCTTGTACACAGACTTGCTGCTCATTCCAGGAAACAGTAAGATTCCTGGCTTGTCTCAAAAAATATTTTGGGAGTTTCTATGTTTATAAAGGCTCTGACCCTTGAGGTTTACTTTTCCTTAAAACCGGACTTAACAAATAATTGCCGCTTTTATCATATGAGGCCAAGATTATTGGGTGTCAGGTGGCAAGTGTCTAGTAAATGAGGGGGTTAGCCACACAAGCTGTGTGACTAAGATCCGAATAGTTTTGTTCCAAAATTGCCCATCTCTGGCCGCCACTGGCCCTGCTTCCACCAGGGATCTCCCTCGCCCCCACTGCCCCTGCTGGCCTGCTTCCACCAGAGATCTCCCTCGCCCCCACTGCCGCTGCTGGCCCCACTCCCGCCTGCTTCCACCAGAGATCTCCCTCGCCCCCACTGCCGCTGCTGGCCTGCTTCCACCAGAGATCTCCCTCGCCCCCACTGCCGCTGCTGGCCTGCTTCCACCAGAGATCTCCCTCGCCCCCACTGCCGCTGCTGGCCTGCTTCCACCAGAGATCTCCCTCGCCCCCACTGCCGCTGCTGGCCTGCTTCCACCAGAGATCTCCCTCGCCCCCACTGCCGCTGCTGGCCTGCTTCCACCAGAGATCTCCCTCGCCCCCACTGCCGCTGCTGGCCTGCTTCCACCAGAGATCTCCCTCGCCCCCACTGCCGCTGCTGGCCTGCTTCCACCAGAGATCTCCCTCGCCCCCACTGCCGCTGCTGGCCTGCTTCCACCAGAGATCTCCCTCGCCCCCACTGCCGCTGCTGGCCCACTTCCACTGGTATTCCCGGCTGGGGATTTCCCCACACCAACCACCAGCTCAGCTGCCACCTGAGTCCCAGCCAGGGCTGGGGATTCCTCTTAGCCGCCACAGGTGCTCCCTGGCCTGGTTGCTCTCCAGGGCTGGACTCCCAACCTACTGCAGGACCAGCTGGGGCTCCCCAGCACCCCGGGACTCCCAGCTAGCTTGTGCTCTTCACCTTTGGGGCGCTTTTGCCCAGCAACATCCGTGATCCTTCCTTCCAGACCACCAATGTTGCCCGACCAGTGTCAGCCGTTGAGGGCATGCTGATTTGTAATGTTTTGCTGTTGTTTACTCCAAATCTTTGCCCCTTCAGAGCTTATGTTCACCAATACACTAAGTTTGGGATTGAAGAGGAGGACTTCCTGGACTGCTTCACAACTCTGGAACAGGTCATCTCTAGTTATGCCAGCCTTTGATTTTGAACTGCTCACCAATAAGAGTTTGTCAGAGAGAGTACACGCTGAAAAGCCTCCTGTTTCAATGCTGCCCCAACCAGAAGTAGCTAAGGACGGTATTGGAGTGTACAGAGTGAGGTTTGGTTTTTTGGGAGTTTTTTGGTGATGAAATAGTAATCTGCATCAGGACTGAATACATTTCTTGTCTGCCATATGTATTGTGTATATAATGAATTTATACATTAAATATTTAATAAACATTTTTCAGTACATTCTCCTTAATTTGAAGCCCTCTAACTTTTTCTCCTTCTCCCTCAGCTGTGCATATTTTTCCTGAAGAATTTCCATAGCCTGAACAGTTTTTTTCAGGTTGAAATCTAGCCTCTAAGCTAATATTAGCTATCCTACTATAGTAGGACTGAAGGATGCTGTTAGTTACAATTGTGATACAATCTGATCTTTAGTTTTTTTTAAAACTTTACATTCTAATACTTAGCCCTGAAAATATTTTCCCAATAGCCCCCAAAATATCCATGATCAAAGTAGTAGTAATAAAAATACAGAAGCATAATTTACCTTATTTGCTCAGAGTCACTACTTTATTATGGAATATAAATAAGGCCCCATATGTTGTGCAGAAAGCTGGTGTTATATTTTGTGGTAAGGTCCCTGAACTCTAACATTCCAGTATGACAGATTCTGCAGCATCTTAAACCTGTTGGAATGAACATGAGCAACACAAGTCAAAGAACAAGCGAAGAACAAACAAAATGTAGGTAACATTTTTTCTTAATTAATATGAAAGTGATTTATAAAGTTACACTTACGGATACTGTGTTGATTATGGTAAATTCAATTTATTTTCTGCTCTCTCTCCATTTTTCAATGTGCCACATTTAGGTTGTCAGTATTTATGGTTCAGAATTAATAATCTATTGGGAAGAACAAAGCAGTTCATCTGTTTTAGCTACTGTTGCAAACTGTCCTGCAGATTCTGGGATTCACCTCAACCATTTATATTTGTTCTAGGTTTATAATTATTTTTCCACAGTGAGGGCAGATGCAGCTTTTATAAATGAAATATTCTAGAAAATCCTGCCTAAGATTCCAAAGACACAGGACCCTGAATGTTAAAAATTCTCCTTTTTCCACAACCACAAGGTGGTGCCATTGTCAAATGACAAACTCCAAATGTTCACCATGTGAAGTAATTCAGTAGGAAAGCTTCTGCAATCCCATGCAGGATACAGCATCAGTACATACACTGGGAATAGGACAGATGCATGACCTTTCTGGTTGTTTATTGCTTTGGGTTTTGTTGTTGCACAAGACAAGAGGCAGAAGGTTTTCATATGGTAAACTATTACACTGGAAAAAATAAATGTATTTAGTTTGTACCAAATCATGCATAACTTCTTCCTCCCTTGCTGACTGGAGCCTTTTTCGTTTTATATTGTTTCATTTGTATTTCTTCTCCTTCAGTTTTAGTTTTTCTATCTATATACCCCAGATTCTTCATTGCAAATAACTCTTCTTTTAGTGGTAACACCATAAATCTCGAGGACTGTTCCCTTAATATAGCTCAGGAGATATGTACAATAAAATTTCCCTTAGGTTCTGATTACCTTGTAGTCCAATTAAAATGTGAGCAAGCACTTACTATAGTTGTAAGTGGTTTAACTCACAGCACAGATCCTTTTCTTATATAATTTTCGCACACACCTATGCTGTGACTAAATCACTGACTATTGAGTTTAAGCATAGAAAGTCTGACCTCTTTTTGACACACACTTGAACTCTCTCTTCCCTCTCTCCCTACAGATATATTTTGGTTTGTCAGTATGATGAAGTTATTTTAGGTCCAAAAATATCTTTCAAATGACGTCTAACTTAGTGGCAGTCCCAGATGCAGAAGTGATCTTGTGACTCAGCTGGGGCATTGATTAACTTGCCAAGTGCCTCCTGTCATCCCATTTTCCCCTTACTACCTTTGCTAGTTTAGTCACCTCTGCGTTTCTTCACATTAGGCCCAGAACAGTAGCATTAAGATCCTCTGGGAGCAGCTGTTCTCATGGTATCTCTGGGCTGTCAGGAAGGAGGAACTGGTAGAACGTATGAGTCTTTTTGCTGAGGGTTGAATAAGCGTGTTACTTACTGAGCCAGGACTGAGGTTAAATTCACGATAGCTATCCTGATGCACTCAAGCAAACGGCTGAACCAGCGTTAGCAGTTTCAGGACAAACCCCACTTCTGGCAAACATGGAATTAGCTACTGGAGCAGTGAAGTTGAACTCCGAGACAGACACGTCTTTCTCTCCCTGGCCCCTTCCCAGTAAAAGAGAAGATTCAGCTGGCTGTTGGCAATAGGACGATGATTAGGCCTAACCCTTATTTTGTGTGTGCTAGGACTCAATTCAGAGACAGATATTAATTCCTTCCTGTTGTGCACTAAAACTAGCTCAGTAAACAATATCCATGCTAGGGTTTCACAGCTGGATTTAGGAGATTTTATAGCTAAAGGCTTAACATTTCATGGGATGGCAGTCTAGTCATTCGTTGTTGTAGTTAACCTCTTGCTACTGTTCTCACACAAACCCACTTAATGTATTTTTGATGTCACAACATCGCATCATCACATTTTTTCCTCCAGAGACCTAGCAAGCAATCCAATCCAATCCAATATATCCTCTCTCATTTGCTTTTTCTCAGCCAGTCTTCACTTATCCATGCTGGTTCCTGATTTAAGGCTCATTCAACTCCCCCTGAAGTTGGCAGGGAAAGAAAGAGCTAATATTTGTTTTATACTTATTTTTCCAAGTTGTTTTGGGGATTTTTAATGTGGAATCTCTTGGTACAGAAACAAACTTAAAAAACAAATAGTCCTGTAGCACCTCAGCAACTATCAGAAAATGTAGATGGGATCATGAGCTTTCGTGGGCACAACCTGCTACGGTAATGATACCGTCTACATTTGTTAGTCTCTGAGGCTTTATCTACACTGCCAGTTTTGCTGGCAGTGAGTATGCAAATGAGGTGCAGATTAGCATATGTTTGTGCAGGGGGCGGTGGGGGAAGTAGTGTGGATGGGTTTTTTTTTTTTTGCACAAAACCTTTGTTTTGCACAAGATCCTTATACCTCTTGGGGAGGCATACTTCCATCCACACTACTTCCCCCTCCTCCCCCTGCACAAACGTATGCTAATCTGCACCTCATTTGCATACTCACTGCCGGCAAAACCGGCAGTGTAGGCAAAGTTACAGACTAACATGGCTATCCCTCTGAAACTCTGGTACAGAAAACTACTTCTCTATAAAAATCACTGCTGTTTCCTAGCTGCTGGGTCACTAACTTGAATAAAAAGGTTGGTGTGGTGTGGTGCAGTGGTGTTGTTTTTAAGCCCTTCTTGGAAGTCTCCAACTTGCTTATTTTTACTCAAGAGACTGGACGTTCTTCAGAAGGAAAGATTGCACAAGAGCTTTAGATAAACATACAAACTGTCCAAGGAACCAAAGGGTCAGGGAACGATACTATGGAGAGGTGAATTTCCCCCCCTCTGGTTGTTCGCAACATAGCAGGAATTCTTTGCCTCAGTGTTTTCAAAGAGCATTGCTAAGTATCAGAAGTAGTAGTAGTTCCCATATCTGAGCTGACAATAGGTAACCAAGAAATTGATGACTAAAGACTGATTAAGTTCCAGGAACATATGACCTAACCTAAAGTTCTAGAGTACATGGCAAAACAAGATATCGTTAGCAGATAAACCGCCTTGGAATCAGAGAAGGTAGCATTGAGGTTTGTTAATGCTACATCAGCAAGTAAGCAGATATTCTTTACTGCATGACTATCCTTCCTTTGTTTCTCTTATGTATGCCTATTATTCCGAGCATGGCCATAACAGATCCATTTTGCCTGTGGGATGGTGTATTTGACTTGACAATTTTTTCAGTTTCAGAATTAAAGAGATGGCTGTTCAATTTCCTGATTCTAACAACACTCTAAAGTGTGATCTTGGTGGTAGGAAAAAAACCTCAGGCAATTCCAAATACAGATGGGAAATTTTGCGGCAATTGCCGCGAATCAGCCATGACTGGAAAACAGAGGACAGATTCAGTGGCTCAAAGGCAGAGCAGGAGCCACCTTTTAATCTTTGCTTCATGGCGATGCCTCTTTGCTCACAAACAGGATTTGGGGCACAATATTGCTAATTCCAGCAAGGAACAGAGCTCTTTGCAGCCACATGAGGGGATGGCAGCTAGGGACCAAAACAATGAATTTTCACAAAAGTTGCAGCCAGCAAAAATGGCCTTCAGGCTGTGAGGAAGATGTGAGGGGAGAAGGGAAGTGTAGCTTTTTCACTAGCAGTCTCAATTGCTTAGCACCAGCCAGTTGGTAATTGGTAGGGGTCTTGTTTCTCAGGGTGTTCTTTATCAGAGAGGGTGACTTTGGATTTGGTTCCCTCACTCCGCTCCAAACCGGAGACTTTCTGCCATGCCATGTAGCCCTT